TGTGAAAGCATTGTTGTAAAATCTAAAGCATTCACACATGAAATTTTTCTTGGTCACTAGCCACTTGTAAAAGTGCTCAGCCAGACTGATAGGTTGACTTTGCAAAAATGCGTGCCTGTGGCACAGATGATGTGCTCATTAAATATTCCATCTGTCCCCCCACAGTTCCCAGCCCTCACAGTTAGGTTGGGCCATGTGATAACTGTGAGCAGTAAGCTGTGGGCAGAAGTGACCTGTGTCATTTTTACGCCAAAGTATGAAAGGGCTGGCACATGATCTTCTGGCTATGTCTTTTCCTGTCATGGTGACTGAGGGGGCCATGAGTTACAGATGTTACCACTACAAGATGTTAGACTGCTGGCATCAGCCTGAGTCCCCGAATGACTGTGCAGAGTACGACACCACCACAATCCTTGCTGGATATGCGCAGTGAAGAAACAAACTTCTGTGTGTTATACTACATACAAAGATGGAGGATGGGGTTATCTAGTTCCTGTAGCACATCTATCCTATCCTGAATAAGATAATGCCTGAAGTCCAAAAACCTTAAAATGTTCACCTAACCAGCCTCACAGAACTCCAGGTACCCTATCCCTGCACTTCCTCCCACACTGATAGCTGCGATGAAGGGCAGTGTGTAGGCAATGGCCCCACTATGGCTCCCTGGCAACCCTGCCCGTCTCCACACAGGCCATGTAGGCAAAGCTTACCCACAGTCTGACCCGGGTCTTGGCAGGCTGCCCTGCAATTCCTCCCGAAATGAAGGGAGATAAGCAGCCCTGTGGGGAGCAGCCATGTGGCAGGTTCTCATCTGCCTCCCGATCTCGTGAGGCAGCCACAAGACAGCTTCCCACCCATCTCCCTCGGTTCAGATGAGCACAGGACTTTCCTCGTAACCACCCTTCCCACTTAGGGCACAGCGGCAGGCTTCCATGTCTACAGAACTACTTGGCTGTCATTTAGATATGGCTCCTCTAGGGCAGAGTAACCCACCACTCATGCCACCTGTCAGCTAGCCCTTCCAGCTCGGTGTCACCCTGTGTGTGGAACAAGGGAACTGACATCATGGTGGTCTTGCTTTTGCTGTCAGAGGAAATAATACATGTCTGAATCCATCTAGACTCTTGTCCCCTTTAGTGGTCAAATCTACAGAAGTGTGGAGAGCCAACAAACAGCTGCCCTATTAGCCACCTGCCTGGGGACCACATGACCACTGCCCACAATAAAAGGTGCTTTCATGGTAACTATTTGTTGCCCAACCTCAGACGGTTTTGTGCTAGGATGTCTTTCTCCTGCTTAAAAGAATGAAATGGGGCTCTAAGTGGGACTATAAATAGCTTTCTGATTTGAAGTTGGAGAGCAAATGAGTCAGGCTGATTTCCCACCACTTTGGCCTCTTCAACATTCCAGTTAAGTTAGCATGAGGTTGACAGAAGTTAGAAGGCTCCACCAACCCAGGCCCAGCTTCAGATATTTGGTGGCAACACGGGGTGACACAGTCTAAATTGTGCTGAGTGGTGGCCTCAGACGTTGGTGAAACCCAAAAGAGACCGTCCATACACAATCTAAAGTGCAAAGGGATGACTTGCGGCATTTTGTATTTTTGTCATTCCAATGAGCCAGAAACCTAGATCACAAAAACAAGTAATCTCTTTCAAATTAAATAATCCAACGGTGATGCTAACAGTACATTTCCTGAATATTAACAAACATGAATGGTACACAATCGAACTACTAAACATCAGGAAGTGTGACAGAGAGTGGGTTTACAAAGCTAAATATAATTCCATCTTTAGATGTAAACCAAAAGTTTTCCAAGACAGACAATGTTTCTGACTTGGCAGCAAGGTCCAGAAACATACCCTGGATTATGAGTCTTTGGATGTGAGATGACTTATAGGTAACTTTGTGACTGGTAAACCTATTGTACCTATTAAAATAGTGAACCACACACAACATTCTCTGTTGGCAAATTACACAACACCGCCATGCCCGATAGAACCACTGAGAATGGTGGTGCAGTCTTGGCTTCTCTCAAGTTTACAAACGTCCTATTGAGAGCAAAAATCAATATGACGTATTTTGCTGGTTGAAAGGGAGAGATTTTCTCAGAGAGAGGAAAGGAAAAACTACCTCACATTATTTCTGGAAAGGAGACATCATTTCCTTAGAGGACTTGGAAATATGTTGCTTTAAGGATAATCCTAGGGGAGCTTGGGTGGCTCAGTTGGTAGAGCATATGACTCTTGATCTCGGGGTTGTGAGTTAAAGCCCCATATTGGGAGTACAGGTTACATTAAAAAAAATTAAAATCTTGGGGCGCCTGGGTGGCTCAGTTGTTAAGCGTCTGCCTTTGGCTCAGGTCATGATCTCAGGGTCCTGGGATCGAGCTCCGCATCAGGCTCCCTGCTCTACAGGAAGCCTGCTTCTCCCTCTCCCTCTCCCCCTGCTTGTGTTCCCTCTCTCTCTGTGTCTCTCTCTGTCAAATAAATAAATAAAATCTTAGACGAACCATGAGAGACAATGGACTCTGAAAAACAAACTGAGGGTTCTAGAGGGGAGGGGGGTGGGAGGATGGGTTAGCCTGGTGATGGGTATTGAGGAGGGCACGTTCTGCATGGAGCACTGGGTGTTGTGCACAAACAATGAATCATGGAACACTACATCTAAAACTAATGATGTAATGTATGGGGATTAACATAACAATAAAAAATTAAAAAAAAATAAATAAAATCTTAAAAAATAAATAAGTAAGTAAATAAAAATAAAAACCTTAAAAAAAATAAAGAAAGATGATACTGGACAAAGAATGGTGAGTAGAAATCTGCGCTTTCAATGATAACTATGGGGATAGAAGAACCGCTGAAGGCTGGTAGGAACCCCATGAATAAGGCACTCAAACACTGATGCTTTTCTGAGGGAAAAGGCCTAGTGTTCTAAGCAGAAACTGTTAGAACTAATCAAAAGGAAATAGTAAAGTGTTGTCCTTATTACTATCCTCTCAATCACAATTATTTGTGTGGGCCTCTCTCCGTACCAGGCATGCTGCGAGGCAGAAAGAGTAAAAAGAATGGAATACATGTTTTATCAATCAGTGCCTTGGCACTTTTAAATGAAGCTCCATTTCTTTGGAGCTTCCTTGGCTCCTATGGTAACCAGTAGGGCTCAGTTAAATTTGTTTCTGGGCTTCCGCAACCTTCAAAATAATAACGGATTCAGGCAAGGATTCTCAGTGGATGTTAAAACCATTGGGTCAGTTTGGAAGGGATCAGGAGAGTGGCACAGTTTTCAAAGAATTACCCCATAGGCTACTTACTAATTACAAAAAGGAAAAAGAGAAATCACTGTAATGGAGAAATTTAGTGGGTATCAGTTTAACCAAGGGATTAAACTCAGCAGCACCAGTAATGGGACAAACACTCTATGGCTCCTGATGTGACACAACAGAAAGGACAAAACACTGCCTACATGGTACTCTTGCAAAATGAATTAACTTGAGTCTAATCATGAGGAAGTAAGCGGACAAACCCAGATTATGAGATATTGTACCAAACAACCGAGCTGGACTTTTTCAATCCTGCAAGAGAGTTTTATAAAAGACAGGAGAAATGGATTATTCTAGATTAAAGAAGACGAAAGCAACAAAACAGCTAAGGCAATGCATGAACCTTGATCAAGCCAAACAACGGTTACAGATTATTCTTTGAACTACTGAGGAAATCTAAATAAGGTCTGTGTACTAAATGGCATGATCGTGCTGGTGTCAAATTCCTTGTACTTCATGGTTTTGTGATTATGTAGGGACCAGTGTTTGTTTTTAGATGATAATACTGAAGTACTTAGGGGTGAGGGAGCGTGATGTCTGCAACTTACTTTCAAATGGTTCAGGAAAAAAAGCCAAATACGTGTGTGTATAGCTACCTATATATGCGAGGAGACACAAAGCAAAAAGGGCAAAATGTTCACAATTGGTAAATTTAGATGAGAAGTCTATGGGTGTACACTTACTACTCTCACAATGCTTTTGCTTAATTTGAAACTTTCCATTAAAAAGGCAGTGAGGGGGTGGGGGGAGAAAAACACAGCAGCTGGCTGAGCTCCGGTTACAGCTGTGGGTCACAAAAAACAGAAATGCTAAGGTATGACGTGGCCAAAGCCCGAGCTCTGGGTCTCGCCAGCCATCCTCTGCCAGGGTAGGCCTCGTCTGAATGATGGGCCAGCCCAGGAGGTGCATTCCTAGTTTGAAATGGTTCAAGATACTTCAACAGCCCCACCCGAAGAGATTCATCATGTTTTTCTATACCTACAGACTTAACATAAGTACACTTCAGAAAATGGACAACTTCTCATTTGTTATTTAAGCCAATGAAAACCAGCACAAATTCTACAACTGCAATAGGATGAACTACTCAGTAATCGACTTCAGGACAGAGTCGGTACAGCTTTGGGACAATGTGGGTAGTGTGCCTACATCCTCAAATGTGGTCGCAACCAAGCCCTGGCTCCAGTGGGAACCTAAACGTTAGGCTTTAAATTTTTCTTTTGAATTATGAATTTGAATTATGAATAGTCAATGCCTTAAAATTCTGGCAGAAGTCCATGTATGAATGAATTCATTATATGTTTTAAAGGAAAGTCGTGAATCTTTGTAAATATTCTTTAGGGATCTAAAGAGAAAAATCAAAAGATGTTATTTGTACGTAGAAGAATGACAACTCACAGTCCAACCTTCCACCTTCTCTTTGCAGCTGAGCTCTTTTCCATCCTAGAACCCCCATCTCCACCATCTGTGCCGCATCCAGCCTAAGTCTCTCTTGCTCAGGTCATCTAGTTTTCTTACTATGATCAATCAGCCTTTTCCATTTGTGTCTCCATGATGCAAAATCAGATTGACATTACAAAGTGTTTATTTTTCTTTACAGACTATCTAATACTGACAGAACAAAATGCCTTAATAACAAAAGGCTAACACCAGCCAACATAAGATTCAGAAAGTCAAAGTAAAAGTAGAGCAGAGCTCAAAAGTAATATTCCTACAAAAATTGAGAAGAGCCAAAATAACTCTTCCCTCATATTTTATTGTTCAGTAGCAGTGCAAAGTAAATAGGCAATTACTACTCAGAAAAGTTCTGAAGTTGAAACAGTTAGCCGTCCCTCCTCCACACACCAAAGAATCTGAGCATCCACGTCCATTCCTCCAGGTCCAAATTCTAGACTGTATAGGTAGGGCCTAATGTATGGTTTTAGCATTATTTAAATTATCTATGGTATTTGCATATTATAACTTTCATTTAACATTGTGAAACACAAAATTCAAGTATCAAAGTATATGACATTAGTGTAGAGCTGAAACAGTCTTTTATTCAACTTAAACATATTTTTTACAGTCTACCACATGTCCTTATTTTTCTAAATACATACATAGAGAATATATAACATTTCACAACATTCAGATTATATGACTAAATGCTTGCCTTTCCATCAAGAATTTGAGGCATTAAATGGCATAGCCTTCACACACAAAGCTTAGAACTAGGCACCCCGTGGTTCAACGCATTTTTCCTGTGCTGACTCAAACGTATGTTTTCAATCATTCTTCCAAGACCAACTCTTTAAAAGCTGGCAGGTGTGAGTAAACACTCTATGCATGGTCCCCTTCCACCTGAGTCTTCTGGTGCTGTAAGGAGAATGTCATTGCTAGCCTGTGGAGCTGTCCCCAGTGGGGAGGCAACACCAGGACTTGCATGATAATGCAGAGTATACACTTGATTTGTGCAGAGGACTGGGAGGGGCCCAGCAACGCAGATGCACAGCTTAGTTTGGGAAGGCCCAGGAACAGAGGACTTGGGGGTTAAGCGTCTGACTCTTGGTTTTGGCTCAGGTCATGATCTCAGAGTGGTGAGATTGAGTCCCGAGTCAGACCTGGAGCCTGCTTAAGATTTTCTCTCTCTCTCTCCCCTGTCTCCCTCTGCTGGCCCCCTGGCCCACCTCTCTCTCTCTCAAAAAAAAAAAGGGGGGGGGGATGGGGGAAGGCCCAGGGAGGAAGCATGACCTGAGCTGGGCCTTGAGGGAGGGGAATCCAGAGGGGGATCTACTTGAGAGGAATTATGTAAAAGGAGAGACAGAAAGAACAGCATGGGATGTGTGCAGGGAAGTGAGGCTATCCCAGTTTGATGAGGATTAAGTAGTGGTAGAAAAATACCTCCTGCTAGGTTGGCAGGCACCCAAAACACGAAAGCCCTACGAGGAAAACAGGAGAGGAGCCTGGTCCATTGGCTAAGAAAGAAGGGACCACGGGCAGCAAGCTTTCTGTAAGGAAAGGGCTTGAGAACAACGTTCAGACAAAACCCTGGATTCACAATGGTAGTAACTTAGCGAGCTAAATATGACCCTGCCGCAATGTGGCCATTACACAGCATATACGATTTTTTGTTGTTTTTCCTTCTTTCCCTTCAACCAAACCACTAAGAAAAAGGCCACACTGAGGTCAGGGGCAACTGAAGATCCGAAGCATTCTTTACCCGTTAAAGAAAATAGTTCATTTGGAAATTCCTTTGGCACCGTTTAATAGCTTTGCATCCCAGATGTGGTAGTGTGGAGTAGAGCGCACCATTATATAAAATAAGAAGGCAGGTCATAGATGACAGCTATGGTCCTTAGGGCCTGCAAAAATGACTCATTACCGGATTTAAGGCAGAAAAAAATAAGCAAGTGAAATTTTTTAATCTTTCCATTTCAATGATCAATGGCGAGACTGTTAGACATTTGGACTCAATTTGAACCAAAAAAGGAAAGATATTTGGATGCCAAGTGTCTTACTCAAATAGACATTCATGAAACAATGAAATGACAGGGCCCAAATGTAAACACAACCAAAGCCCCAGGAGGTCGAAAAGGAAAACAACCAGTAGGGAAAATGTGCTCTCGGTGGTCAGACACAGCAGCAGTCATTCCCAGCAAGTCCGTCCTCAGCTTTTCTTGAAATAACCAAGTCTCTAAAGAGCGAAGAGAAGGCGAGTATGTTCTGCTGTCGTGGCGATGGGAAAAATCTCGGCTGGCAGCAATGGGAACTGAACTGGGCAGATCTGGCAGACACCAGGCCTGGGAACAAAGTCAACAGCATGCTTCGTGTTTTAGGGAGGGTCCTCGGTGCATCGTCAGAACAAAGACTGACAATGGGATTCATGGCCACAGTCAGAGGTCACCTAGAGAAAGGGCAGCGGCGAGTGTCAGAAACATCTGCCCTGATATCAAACCTTCTTTTATATAAGCTTGCCAAACCCTGGCTTTCCATTTAATTCTTTTGGCCTTTGAACTCTTCAGGCATAGAATTTTATGAGTGGCGGTGGGGAGTGCTGGGGGGGTTGTGAGGGCAGCTGGATATGGCAGAGTTGCGATCCTGTGCTATCACTCTGGGAGGAACCTCGAAGGCTCAAAGTGACAGCTGACCAAAGTACTCAAGTTCAAACCCTGCCTCCGGGCTCATCCATGTAAACCAGGACTCTGGGGGAAGGCCTCTTCTTAAATAGTTCCCAGTTTGGAGACACCACACACATTCCAAGCTCATTTACGCCAAGGGTAAAGAAGGTCCTTATGATATATGATTAAAATACATTCTCTTTACTTGATTGGATCAAATCTAATTTAACATGTTTAAAAACAGTGGAAAAGTTAGAAACCATTGAATACTTTTCTTGTGTTGTAACTGTTGAATTTTCTTTCTTTTTTACTACGAGCAGTTCCAATTCTGGACCACAAAGCAACGTGTGAGATTCAACCTTTATTTTTAACCCTTGGTACAAAGTTATTCATCTTGGCTGACTGAATGAAAGAATCAGCACAATCACCTTCAAATCTTGAGAACAGACAAGCTATTGGGTCAAGAATGTGAGGGGTTCTCAAAGTGGTTAAGAGGCCTCTGAGGGTCTCTGAAACCACTTTCGGGGGTCCATGACATCAAACCATCTCTATAATAGTACATGATGCTCTTTGCCTCCTTCACTCTCTCCTTCCACAGTCGTACAGTGGAGTTTTCCAGAGGCTACATGACTCAAGAGTGTATCATCACTCTAAAGCTAATGGAATGTGTGTTGGTACATTCTTGTACTTTAAAAATTCCTCACTATATTTTATAAATTCTCATTTATTGATAATAGAATAAAAAGGATTAGATATAACCCAACTGAGCAAAAGCTTTTTGGAGACCTCAGTACTCTTTAAGAAAGTAAAGGGACCCTGAGACCAACATTTTGTAAGACGTAGTTGTCTTTCTAAGGGAGCCTTTTCATTTGGAATCTTACTATGTCATAACCTTGTGACATGGTGTCATGCAAGCAGCTGGGTGTTCAAAGAATGAAAAACTTCAACATCCGTCAACTTTTTTCTTCAAGTGATAGAATTCTAGGGATCTCCAGCTCTTGCCAGTAGCCTGGCTTTTTCCTTCCCTGGAGTTCTATTTGCTGATTCACCTCTCGGAGAGAAAGAATTCATCTAATACGCCATCACTATTCCTCCAATCTACTTTTGCAAATAAGTCCTTTCCTGAAATCCCATCAGGACAGTCACTCACTGAGGCTCTCAGTCACATACCTCCTTGCCTATTACTTAACCTCTCCCCGATGTGGTAATCACCTTTACTTCTTTACTCATTTTTAATTATGACTTACAATTTATCTACTCCTTAAAATTTGCTCTATGCCAAAATATACACATTACTACCTCTCATACAAAGTCTTTCCCATAGCTCTGTGCCTGGCAAAGTACATGATTCCCTATGCTGGGTCTTCTCCCTCACAGACGGTGGGTCTGTTCCTGATGGAATGCAGCCTCTGTTGAACTACAGTTTTTGTTTACAGGGTTTCTCAAGATTGTGAGATGTATAGGATCTTTTTCTTTCCCTTATAACTAACACAGAAATATGTTTGATGACTGAATCAATTAATGAATATATGACTATTAATTTAGAAATTAAAAATTTAAGGAAGAAAAAGGGAAGCCAATGAGCAAAATAACAAAGCTACAGTAACTATTTATAGTACATTAAATCTGATTCTGGTCTTCCAGAAGGCTAAAGGAGAAAAAACAAATAAAGGTTTGACTTCATTTCCCCCATCTAATACAATAGGTGCTTAATAAATACTCCCTTATAAACTAATGCCTCTCCTCAACAAAGTCCGAGTTTTCTGCTCAACGATATATTGGATATCACTTAAGATGCACCTCTAGGCAGGTGTGACTTCTTCTAAAGGAACCTCTGTCACCCATTTCTAAAGACAGAATCGAACTTCAGACCTCCCATATTAAAACCTCTGTCTTTCCCTTCAGGATGGGTTTAATGACAAAGACAAAGTTACCCCACTATGAAATGATAAAAGCTTAAGGGAATTCAGTTTATTGAGAGGAAATGCATCAAGCTTAGAAAAATCAGCTAAGCAGTGAGGGGGATTAAAACCCGGGGCTGAAAAATATGGAATTTCCTTCAATTTCTTTCACCTCTTTGTATGAAAATTTTTCTCAATCCCTTTTTTTGTTCTACACTACTATTAAGCAATCTCTTTCTACATATTAATATTTAATATTTAAATTAAGCTTATATTTTTGAGCATTGCCATACAAAGTCTACTTGTCCCTCACCTTATATGTTAAGAAGCGGAATAAAAAGCTGAAACCACACTCTTCAGAATGACTGCCCCAAGCAAAAAGCAAAACCCTTTACTTTTAAATTTTCCTTCCAGAAATCTATCAAGCACTTATAAAATACATGTGCCACCCAGTTATTGCAGATCATAACCTGTTTCCCCAAACGTGTCTATCTTTTCAACTCGAACACAAAGTGACCCCCAAACCCCAATCTCCCCTCCCTGTTCCCACTCACTGAAATTCTTAGAAGTTGGTGAGAATGTCATAAAGAGAAGCACCATCAGCTTTATTAACAAACATAAGAACATGTTCTGACAGCAAAGCAGAGATTTTTTTCAATTCAGTGACTTTCACTCTCATCCAAATCCTTTTAGTATGAGGGAAGGAAATCTCAAACCACAGCATATGATGAGAACTTTTTTGCTGATTAACATTATACAAATCGTTTTGTGCAAGGTATTTATCTGGGTAAATATTAGCACCCCATTATCACCATCACTCACTGCCTCGAGGATGAACTGTATTCCTCTGCACACATCCCAGAAACCTCTGGGGAAAACAGAAGGAACAAGCTTACTGGGAAGTACCTACTGTGTGCCAGGGAACGCCACATCTTTTCCTTGAAGTTCCCTCAACAAGTACGAACCACCGCCCGTAGTCCATAGGTGAGGAAACTGGTGTTTCTAAGAGTTCTATAATGTGCTCAAGATGATGCCAAGGAGCGAAGGGAAACCAGCACTCAATTCCAGGTCTGTCTGCTTCCAAGGCTCCCTCTGGTTCCTCTACACGAGGCTGTCTCCTGGGAGCAATAGTTTAATATCAAGAACCTGCCCCAGGAGCGCCTGGGTGGCTCAGTTGGTTAAGCGGCTGCCTTCGCCTCAGGTCATGATCCTGGGGTCCTGGGATCGAGCCCCGCATCGGGCTCCCTGCTCAGCGGGAAGCCTGCTTCTCCCTCTCCCTCTGCCTGCCTCTCTGCCTACTTGTTCTCTCTCTCTCTCTCTGTCAAATAAATGAATAAAATCTTTAAAAAAAAAAATAAAGAACCTGCCCCAAAACCAAACATGTGTCATCTGACCCCAGCTGACCCAGAAATACTAATTGGAAAGATTCTTTAAGCATTTTCCCCCTGCTTTCCTATGATTTTACAAGTTCTGTCACATAGAACAACATAGCCACTAATACCTATGCTTTACGAAAGAATTTAGAGAACAAAAACCATCATTTATATTTTGCTCTTTCACCATCAACTTTGCTGTAATTTAGATAAGCTCAATTTTGCTCAGCCACCCAGATGTGTATAGCTGGGTAGGAAGGGGCAGAAAGGGTTTTAGCAACTAACATACGAGCAAGGCCAGGAAGTGCTGAAGCCCCAAGAGTACCCAGGACTTCCCCCAGGGCGTGACAAGGGAAGGTGCCTGTCTACTCACCACCCACTGGAGTGTGGAGAAAGGAAGAGGGAGGGGAGACATTTTATGGCCCTGATCCTCATGCCCTCAGCTGTCCCTAATGATTGCTCCAAATCAGAAAAGACCAGACAACACTTGGCATATCTGATTTTCAGAATGTGAGCACCATTATGTATGTGCTGTGTTTAAAATACAAATGACCTGTACCTCTGAAACAAGTAAGACATTATGTTAAAAAAAAAGAAGATAGTAGGAAAGGAAAAATGAAGGGGGGGATATCGGAGGGGGAGACGAACCATGAGAGACTATGGACTCTGAGAAACAGACTGAGGGTTCTAGAGGGGAGGGGGGTGGGGGATGGGTTAGCCTGGTGATGGGTATTAAAGAGGGCACTGCATGGAGCACTGGGTGTTATATGCAAACAATGAATCATGGAACACTACATCAAAAACTAATGATGTAATATATGGTGATTAACATAACATAATAAAATAAAATAAAATAAAAAAATACAAATGAAAAAAAGAAGGAAATATGGCAAAAGGGTGAATAAAAGGTTGTATCTGGATAGCAAGATTAAACAATTTTGAGTTCCTCCTGTATTTTTCTACTTCTTCCAAAATTATCATAAAATATGTTGTTTATAATAAGAAAGAAATGTCTATGTAACTATGTAGTATATCTTTAAAATATTTCCATTTTCAAATTAAAATTAAGTTGAAGCTAGAGGGTGGTAGCTTGACTATCCAGAACAACTACTTTCTTTTTTTTTTTAAGATTTTATTTATTTATTTATTCGAGAAAGAGACAGAGAGAGAGAGAGAGAGGGAGGGAGCACAAGCAGAGGGTGCAGCAGGCAGAGGGAGAGGGAGAAGCAGGCTCCCCTCTGAGCAGGGAGTCCAACGCGGGGCTCCATCCCAGGACCCTGGGATCATGACCTGAGCTGAAGCAGACGCTTAACTGACTGAGCCACCCAGGTGCCCCTAGAACAGCCACTTTCTGATGGGTCTCAGAAAACTGCAGCCCTGCGGAGGATATCACTACTACGGACACAAACCACTGGGGACGTGTTAGCCCAAATTGTCCTGCTCTTGGTGGATATCCAATGGGCCAGAGGTCTATTTAACTGAATGCTTTCAACCTTTTGTGCCAGGCCTCTTCTTTCCATGGGGGTCTCTTTCCTGTTTCATTATCGATTTTTAAATTTCTAAAACACATCCAGTAAATTTACCATTCCCTTTGTCTATTGTGCTGAAACTTAATAAATTGCCCCGCTTTTTTCAGCAGGAATGGCACAACGCCCAGTTCATTAATTCAGCAGTATCACCTGGATGTCTCTGGCAACACTAACCACTTTGGCTTTCACGAGATGCCTATATCCGAATTCTGGTTTATGGCTGAAATCCAGCAGCTCCCAAATGGGGCACTTCCTTGAGGATGGCAATTACTAATGCTTAAAGATGAGGGTATTGGACCACAGAGTGCCATTAGATGTACTTCTGACCTTCAAAATCTGTGCGTGCGTGCTTAACTTCATGTGGCTTCTGCATGCTCCCAGCATGCCACGATGAATGAGATTACACTTCGGAGGCATCGCTCCGCAATCATGGAGATAGTGTTTTAAAAATGAAGGAAGTAAGAATACAAATGTTTAGAAACCACTCAGGAGATCTTTTACCAGCAAGTAGTTTATAAATTCAATACCAGAAATAAAGCCTCTAAAGATTCTAGCATGTCCAATTTTGAAAAATTTATCTTTGTCATTATTTGTGGTATTGTTTACCAACTTTTAACTTACAAACAAAAAAGGCTAGAATTACACACAGCTAAAATCACAGAACAGTAGAGCTGGAGGGAATTGAGAGGTCCTCAGCTTCAACCTGCTCATTTTAAACATTAGGGAAGTTGTAGGGGTGAGAGATTAATTGATTGATGGAAGACACACAGAATTAGTGGCAGAGAGGATCCCAGAAACAGCTTCTCTTTCTCTTATGTACCAGTCCTAGAAAGTAAAGTCTATAATTGCTCCTTTTGTCACTAGAGGGAAATTTCATAAAGGTACTCTTGCAAGTACAAATAACCCCAACACTGTGAAATTCACTTACAATAATAATTTTCAAAAAGATTATTGTGAACATGGCTATTCTGTAGCCATGTTTACTCAAAGTGGGGCTCTGGCTTGTGGGGGAGAGGTGGGAGAAAAGGAGTCCCAGCATTGAACAGTGCAGAAAAAACACATATATATAAACAGCAGGTCTGTCACCCCAAGACCTACAATCCCACTACCCTAATCTTGAGAATAAATGCCAATAGAAGTTTTGTCTGCAAATTCATTCCCTTCAATAAATCATTTATTGTACTAAATTACCTGCTAGGAGACTCCTTCCTCTTGGTACTGTTCCATGATCTGAGGGTCCTGAAAACAGGCCTTCATCAGGCTTGATATATGTGCAATCAGATGGGTACACAGAACATCCTGTCCTGAACGTTATAGGTGCTCAGTAAATGTTGAATGCTCCGTGCCCTATCACATGCCACTCATACAGACATGTAGATGAGAAGTAACAACATGAGGAAAATGAGCGACACTCTCCAGAAGCAAGGACCACTATGCTCTGTTGCTGGAGTGCCCTGACAGCCACATCCCTTAAGGCGAACTTCAGGCATGAAAGAAGATTTCTGTATTAGAACCCCTACTTCTGTCTTATCTTTCCACACTGAGAGCCACAATGGCTGATTTGGCCTGCTCCCTCTGGCTATGACTCTGAGACATCTGGTTGGCACCTCCGAGCAAGGGTCTCATGAGGACAGCCTGGGAAAACGACTGACTCAATTCTCCACTGACAACACAAGTAGGAGAGCCATAGAGAGCTAAAGGCTGACCTTCTCCAGGCTGCAGTGCCACCCCACTCCTGCCTCTGTGTGATTTACTTAGGTACCCACCACAGGGTTTCATGGGTATGGTCTTAGGTGTATAAAATGGGAAGGTGGCTGCCAAAGGACTGGCTATTCCCAGCCTCAATCAACTCCAGGAATTTCATTCACTCATTTATCCAATCACTCATTCAAGATGGTGGGTGAGTCTGCTTACCTGCCCTCCAGGGACTCATCATCTATGTGGGAACACCCACATAAACAAAACTTCACCTATTGAAGTGCAACGGAGGTTTGTGAGACTGGAGTAGATCGTGCAGACTTTACAGAGGTGGTGTTGTGATGGGCCAAGCATGAGGAGGACTCAGGAGGCAGGGGAAAGGTAAGGGTCTTCAGAAAGAAGAAAGGGGGTGGTACCCCAGATTAGTGAATATCTGATCAGTATAGCTTTCAATTGTCAGTAAATGTCTTGGTTCCTTGTTTTCTCTTTACAAACAGAAAACATTACATCACGAATGCCTGAGTGCTACAGAACGCAAGCAACAACTATAAAACACTTTATAAAAATATTAAATGGAACACAAATAGTAACAATCATGAACAATAACCCCTCTCCCCCCCCCCCAGAAAAAGGGTAAATGCTGCTTAATCTTGAAGTGAACCATCCAACCAGAGAGACAAACAAATTGCTCGAGAAAGTCGGGGATGGAAATACAAAGACTAAGACTCTACTTTGGAGGGAAACGGGGGAAAGAGTTGCTGCTATCTGAATATTTAGTAATCCTAGCTTTTAAAAAACCCCCTCAGTAGCCACAGTGACAAAAACACAGCTTTATTTCTAAAGACAGAGTCCCATGGGCAATTAAGTAATTCAGTTCAGCCTCCTCAACGGATGACAATGTTAACTGGGAATCTACATTTTTTTTTCTTCTTAAAAAAGAGTTGGAACACAAAGAAATATCCTGAACTCACCCTGGTCTCTTAATATTGAAGAGAACAAACACAATACTCTGTTTATTCATTCAATCATTTATACAAATTCATTCATTTACCCAAACATTAGTGCATTGTGGTGCTGTGTTCTAGCTCGTAAGAACTTCCCTCTGAGAGAGTATACTTGTTTCCAAGGACTGCCAGAGCAAATTACCACAGACTGGGTGGCTGAGAAAAGAAAAAAAAGAAAGAAAAAAAAAAAAGAAATTGATTCTCTCACAGTTCTGGAAGCCACAAGTCTGAAATCCAAGTGCCATCACAGTTGGTTTCCTCTAGAGGTTCTGAGGGAGAATCTGTTGCATGCCTCCCCTCCAGCTATTGGCGATTGCTGTCATTCCTTGGTGTTCCTTGGCTTATAAACTCATCACTCCAATCCCTGCGTCTGTCTTCACATGACCTTCTCCCTTGTGTCTGTGTCTTTTCTCCTATTCTTATTGGACACCAGTCATATTGGATTAGGGCCCACCCTAATTGAGTATGACCTCATCTTAACTTGATTACATCTGCAAAGACTCTATTCTAAATGAAATCATAATCACATGCACTGGGACTTCAGAGCACGAACCCCACTATATGGTCGTAGCTGACTTATTCTATTGCCTTTTCTACCAAGCAAGAGGCTGTCACTGACATTAAGGAGATTAGAGTCTAGAAAGAGAGATACACAGATCTCTCTATCTTCCTTGCGCTTATCACAGCTGCAGTTTTGGCTTTGTGGATTTTGCTGTGTCCTTATTGCCTGTCTCCACCTGAAGACTAAGCTCCCAAAGCACAGGCACCATGTCTGTTTTCTGCTTCCCACTACATTCCCGTATCCTTGCATAGTGCCAGGAACAGAGCAGGCTTTCAAGAAATACTTGAATAAATGTATAGATAGATGAATGCATTAACTAGATACAAGCCGGAATGAGAGAAGCCTACAACGGGTAACGGTGATACATATAACAGACCAACAATGAGGAAGAAATCATTGATTCTGATTAGTAGGACTATGGAAGTTTTCATGAAAGAGAAGGCATCTGAACTCAGTCTTGTGGGATCAGTAAGATCTTACCAATGAAATAAGGAGTAAAATTTATCCCTTGCTGACCAAACAGAATGAGCAAAGGCCTGGACATGTAAAGCACGGTCTTTGGGGGAACAGATAATAGACCCAGTAAGCTGGAGCAAAGGGTACCTAAAGGATGTGAAAATACTTGGGATGAAAAATGAGATGAAAGGCAGCTCTGAGAGGCTTCCACAGGCTATTCTGGGTACAGTAAGATGCCGCTGAACTTCGCTGAGAAGGGACATGACATGATCCTACCCATGCTTTGAAAGGAAAAATATATACATAAAGAAATGATTCATGCATATGCTCCTTCTTCATCCTCCTGCCTGAGTATAGTTCTTATATTACTACATGGAGTATTTTATATTTACCTGTGTATCTCCTATGTACTTACTTGCCTGAGGAACTTAGAACTATACAGTTGACCCTTGAGCAACACAAGTCTGAACTGTGCAGGTCCACTTATACACAGATTTTTTTTTTCAATAAATACAGTATATACTGTAAATGTATTTTCTCTTCCTTATGATTTTCTTAATAACATTTTCTTTTCTCTAGCTTAATTTATTGTAAGAATACAGTATATAATCGGGGCGCCTGGGTGGCACAGTTGGTTAAGTGTCCGACTCTTGGTTTCAGCTCTGGTCATGATCTCAGGGTCATGGTATCAAGCCCCACATGGGGCTCTGTGCTCAGCATGGAGTCGGCTTGTCCCTCTCCCTCTGCTTCACACCCTCCGCTCCCTCTCTACTTCTATATCTAAAATAAATAAAGAAAATCTTAAATAAAAAAGAATACAGTATATAATACATATACAAAATATGTGCTAATAGAGTGTTCATGTTATCAGTAAGGCTTCCAATCAACAGTAGGCTATGTAGGCTATTAGTAGTTAAGTTTTGGTGGAGTCAAAAGTTATATGTAGATTTTTGACTGTGTGGGGGATCAGTACCCCTAACCTCCACATTGTTCAAGGATCAACTGTACATAAGTGGTTACATTTCATAATCATTAATTAATTATATTAAATGCACTGTACTATTATATAATTATATAATTAATATTAATTTTATAATTAAAAGATCATATCTTGGAAGAACTTAAACAGGATGATGTCACAGGTCCTAAATGTCTTCTCAAAATAGTAACCTGAAATTTAAAGCCCAAGAGAAGATGATTTTCTTTCTTTCTTTCTTTTAAGATTTTATTTATTAGAGAGAGAAAGCACACAAGCAGGGGGAGCATGAGCTGGAGAAGCAGGTTCCCTGCTGAGCAGCAAGCCTGATGCGGGGCTCAATCCCAGGACCCTGGGATCATGACCTGAGCCGAAGGCAGACACTTAACTGACTGAGCCACCCAGGCGCCACAAAGATGATTTTCTACCATTGTAATAAGAAGGATTTCTCCCTGTAGCAAAGCATTCCAACCTCCAGGTCCGGCCTAATTCTTTGGTTTGGATTTGACCCTGGCAAGCCCACAAACCAGCAACACTCCAACTCAAGGTGGGACAGGGCTACCACCTGCTGTTCTCTACTTGACGCACCAGGCACCCCACCACTTACCACCGACACTGGGAGAGCAGCCAGGCACCATGATGGTACACCTCTGTTACCCATGGAGGCCTGTTCAGTAGCTGAAATTCTGTCAAAGGGAGAGATGTTCGGTATGGCCTTGATGCCTCCAAAGGTTTTTGGTAATAAAGCAAACATTCTGAGGAAGAAGTATTTTAGCCATTCACCTGTAAGAGGACTCATTGTATGGAACTGTTAATCGAGAGAAACAGCAGCTACCCCAGAGAGAACCTGGCCCAGCCCACAAGTTCTGCTAAGGCAAATGGAGGACTGAATGCTCGGAGAGGGCCGGAGTGAGCAGGATGGAGATGGCATGAAGGAGAAAGAAAACCCATTTCATCCTCACAAACTCTAGAAGGTGGGCCCCAGAATTTCTAGTTTACAGTCATCTCTTTATTATTGAGACTGTAAGACAACAGAAGGGTCAGGACTGTGTTTACCTATTTCACGCTGGTATGCAAGTCCTAGGACGATGCCTAGCACATACTTAGATGTCCAATAAGTGTGTGCTGAAAAGGAGTGAGCTGCCTGGCAGAAATGCCCCTACTCAGGGGCACTTCGAGCACATTTCTCTGACGATGAGCATACCCATCACATATATTAAGATTTTGCCTATGAGTCTACCTTTCCCTCTGGACAATAACCTCCCTAAGAAAAGGAAAGATGTTTGCTTATTCCTAGGATAGTGCCTGGCATTTAGAAAGCATATAATTCTTGAGTCTCATGGGGCTAAAATAACGTACACGGAGAACATTAAGAGGCTTGGGTTTGAGCTAGCTCTCTCTCTATCTAAAATCTATGCTTTTTCTATATACTTCCCTGTAGAAAGTCATCCTACTACATGGTTTGACCTGTAACTACTCTTGTGAAAGAAGGCTCCTTGGAAACAGGTTAGCCACTGTGCTCCAGCCTTGTAAGACAGACTATCTGTATAATTTCTTACTATGAGTGTTTCAGTCATTTAATGCTTGGTCCAAATACAGGCATAACATAATTTAAACACATGCAAAAGCACATACATCTCAAAAGTTGAGTCCAAGTAATCATTTTCCAAAAACACAGATTTTTAAATTTCTGTTTAAATAGGATGAGCTTAGGTAGAGATAGAAAGTTTTAAAAAATCCAAAGCAAAAATTTTAATAAGTCAATTCCTATTTTATATATATTTTAGCTTTCATTAGGAAATATTGAAAATGTCCTTTTCAAACCTATTTTCCTAAAACCCCTAGCCATGTTCATACTCAAACAAAAAAAGAAAAGAAGAAATCTTTAAAAGCTAATTATTTTTACACTGCAGTTCCTCACATAGCCTGTGGACTTTATCCTTTGCCAAAAGACCAAAAAAAATTTTTTTTAATTGAAAAAAGCAACTTCTAAAATGCACTAAACTTAAATCCTCTTTTATAAGCTCTCAAACTAAGTTAAATTAGTTTAAGCTTTCAAGCAATATATTCCATTCTAGTGGACTCCAAAACTTAATATTGTACCTACCAATATTCCAGTAATGTGAGTGTAAAAAAAAATTTATACTAGACTCAGAGTGTGAAATATTTCATGAAGAAACATCAGGAAAGAAATTCTGAGGAATGCTTAATCCTTTTAACTTTATAGTTTTACAGATGTACAACTGTACTTTATCTTTTTATTTTTATCCTTTTAACTTTATAGTTTTACAGATGTACAACTTTCTATAATTTTGCTGAAAATGTTGCTGCTCTTGGACAAGAATTATGCATAGTTGAGCCCTTAATAGGGCTGGAAAAAATTTAACATGAAGACAAGTTAAAATGACAGCATTGTTTATCCCATTACTGATAAATTAACAAGTCTAACTATTAAGTTTTACAAAACACACCTTTACCATCCTTTCTTGATATTCTTAATAAGCTTTACAAAGGTTTTAAGAAAGAGTTCCAGAGCAAGACTTATTCAGTGAAGTTGGTTGGTTGGGCAGTTGGTTGGTTAAGTAGGTAATTGATTGGTTGGACAAATGAATTTTAAACATCTATCTTGGATTTCTGAACCAAGAAAATGGATTTCTGAGCAGTTGCTTGGAGAATCAAGTTTCTTAAAATTCCTTTAGAGCCTACAGTTTCTCAAGGCATTCAAGGGAAAAGCACTGGGACCTTTTTAAAGTACTATAAGTTAACAAGGAAAATGTCCTCAAAAGATCATCAAGAAAATCTCCAAAAAGTTAGAACCACTTTGTTGTAGATTCCAGCTATCCTAATGGGTATTCCAATGATGCCTTCCAGAAGCATCAATTTGAGAAGGCAAGATGCCTTAACTACTTCTATATAAGGTGAGTCAGTTTCTAAATACTGAAATTTAAAACATTGGTCCTCACCTACTCTTGGAAAGATGCTGAGAAAATTAGAAGTAAAATGACTAAAAGCACCGTCCTCCAGAAGAAGACAGTCAACCCTGGGTTACTCATAAGTATCGTTGACCCTTGGACAACAATGTGGGGCTAGGGGGCCTACCCCCCCACACAGTCAACAATCTGCACGCAACTTCTGACTCCTCAAAAACTGAACTACTAATAACCTACTGTTGGCCAGAAGTCTTACTGATTTCATAAACAGCCAATTAACACATATTTTTTGTATGTATTGTGCACTATCCTCTTTTTAAAAAAAATTTTTTTTACCACATCAAAAACCAATGATGTATTGTATGGTGACCAACATAATAAAATTTTTTAAAAATTATTTATTTATTTATTTATTTATTTATTTATTTATTTGAGAGAGAGAGAGAGAGCAGGGGGGGCAGTGGGCAGAGGGAGAGAATCTCATGCAGACTCCCTGCTGAGTGTGGAGCCAGATGCAGGGCTCAATCTCATGACCCTGAGATCATGACCTGAGCCAAAATCAAGAGTCAGATGCTTAACCGATTGAGCTACCCAGGCACCCCTGTACTATGTTCTTATAATAAAGTAAGCTAAAAAAAAGAAAATGCTATTAAGAAAATTGAGGAAGAGAAAAGACATTTACAGTATTGGACTGCATTTATCAAAAAAAAAAAAAAATCCATGTGTGAGTGGATACCCACACAGTTCAGACCTACGTTGTTCAAGGGTCAGCTGTACTTGATTGCCAGTCCTTGCAAAACAACCTCATTCTTAGCAGAAGATGACTGCCCCGATCTATCTGCTTCCTTATTACTGATCAAGCCAGAGGAAAGGGCGCCTTCCATGGGCCCCTGGCTTCTTCCACATTGGCTCAATACATTTGAGCTGCTTACCTGTTATTTAATTAGTAGCCAGAGCTAACAGAATAAAGATATTTTGATTTAAATGTTCTAGTTAAATACCCATGGTGACACTCTAATACGTCTTGTCTTTTGCCTATAAATTGACTAATGAAATTATATTAACTGCTAGTGGGGTTTTCACTAGAATGATCTGCAAATAAAAAGTTAAGCTCAGTAAAGATAAAAAGAAAACACTCAGGAAAATGACCTCCGAAGGGAAACAAAGAAACTGATTTGGCCATCTCTTGGTCAGTCTCCTCAAGTTGAAACTGTAAAGTGGGAAGAGGTGAGATTGAGTTTTATGATATTCAAAGAGAAAAAGCACGTCTGGGTTCAGTACTATCGGAAGGCATGAAGTCACTACTTAATTCTTTGTTGCTCAAAGGTATGAGTTTCTCATCCTCAAGATTTCCTTCCCAAGGACACGATTCATGCAAAAAGAAACAAAAATGATCAATGCCCATCTATTGGTTTGGATGCAAAACAACAGCAGCAACAACAACAAACTTGCTAGTGGTCTTCCAACAAAATAGTAACAATTCCATGTGGGCAGACCTCATGCAGAATAATATCACTTGGACCTCAC